TACTTAAAGTCCCCCTTGTTCATATGCATTCCGTGTATGTATGTGTGTGTGTGTGTGTGGGGGGAGGGGGGGCAGGGGGACACCACACTGTTGCTTACCCGCAGTAGAGAAGGCCCAGGAAGCTGCACAGTTGCCCTGATCCAGCGGCTCGTGGATTTTGCCGGGCCAGTTCTGGCTGGCGTTGAAGTAGCGCGGGAGGTGGTCAGTGCCGTCCATTTTCACCTGAAAGGGCCAGAGGGTTCACTGAGCGCTGAGCAGGCATTCTGCACAGCACAGGCCAGCACCTACATCGACGGTATCAGTGGCCCATGGGGCTTACAGTGGGCGGATCGAACCAACGGCATGACATCACCAATGGGGTGGAGCCACATTACGGTAATAGCCCTTTAGCCTTAATGTTATGTCTCATAATTGTCACGCCTGAGGAAACGATTTAAACTAAGGACATCCAGAGCAAGCCAGGGATTAAGCCTCAGGGATTAAGCTGGGGAGACTGAGTGTGGAAAATATGGGAAAATGTTCCCTGAATAGGTGCTGATGGGCTAACATCCCAGCGTGTTTATTGTCTTTAATTTCACCGTGACAAGCGTCGCCTAAAAACTCGAAAGGAATGCAGCCACCTGGCACACTGTTAGCGCTTGTGAACCGTTTTAAGTCCCCGTCAAGGCAACACTTGACCTCTGGAAAGGGGTCAGCATTTGCACTGTAATTAAAGCTCCAAGCGCTGACTCAGGCCTGCCTGCTGTGCATTTGACGGTGACCCACTCCGGTGTCCCGGGGCGGAGGGGCACATCACCCATGGTGCGAACAGAAAACGGGGTTTGCTGGGTGCGGGACTGGACACGTGCGGGAATGTGGGGGCCTGTCCTCAGGTGAGGAGTCACTGCTACACCTGAAGCACACTGACTTTACGATAACACGTTACGCAATCTGTCTGCACAGCATCATCGTCTTTGACACACAGTGAAACAGCCCGAAAGCCAGCATTAACAATGCCCGCAGGACGTAAACAATTAGCTTGACACTATGGAAGTTTAATAAAGAAATGGCTCAAGTCTACTAGCCTGATAGCACTCTGTGTTCCTTGAATGTCTTGCTAGGTTCTTGCTCTTTGGAAGATGTTGTTTATTGTGTATTTCCTGCTCCAATCCTGCTTACCTGCGCATTCCCTGGAAGCTCAGCCTAGCTGCACTTGTGTCTAGTCGACTCCCCGACAGCTGTGTGTTTGTAACATGCTATTTGCCTCACTTGTATGTGACTTCGGACAAAAGCGTGTGCTAAATAAAATAAACAGAAAAGTAAACACAATGCACAAAACAGCCATGTGAGACACTAAGCTGGCCACTCACTGTACTGTGTAACTGACTATCGTGACAGAGCTCATGTTTTTTTTTAGCATTTTGGGTCATCCTGGAACCTCACCTGGATCTCATTCATGGTCATGATAGTCCGGGACGGCCACTGGGTGCCAAGGCGGTACCGCATTCCCTCATCCAGTGTCATGCCCCAGAACTGGCTGTAGTTCCCTGCCCTCCAGCTAGGGGGCGACAGAGAAGCGATTCAGTAACACACTAGCAAGCAAGGTGTATCACAGAACTCCATGTCTACAGAGTGTGTGGTTATAAATGTTATACAGTTGGCATTGTATTGACTTATAGGTTACTGGGTCTTCGGTGTCACTGTCTATGAGTCACAGGGAATCACTATCTTATTATATTTCATTGTATTTATTTCAGTGTGTCTCTCTGTACGTCTTTTTGCATCTCTGTGAGTCTCAGTGCCTCTTACAGCGTCGCCAGTGTGTGACTCTTACCCATAATTCCCCCGGTTAATGTGCTGGATCATGTCGTTCTCGATCAGGCAGGCGTGTTCCTCGCATTCCCAGCGGCCGGTGGACGCGCACGTACTGATGTGGAGCAGAGTGACAGACAGGCCAGAGAAAGTTTGTATTCTGCAAGGACTGTGCTTTCCCGTCAGACTCCGAAAACAAATATTTAAAATATGCTGCTTACGGCACAGAGCAGAAGGTCAGAGGAAACAATGAAAGACAAACAGAGAGGAAAGAGTAAAAGACTCTGCTAAAGGCAGATATGAGGGAAAAGCGGAGAGCTGCACTTGGGCATGGAGACAGGAGGATAACACTTGGCATGACATAAGGAAGGAGGGGAGAGGGAGAGGGAGAGAGAGAGAGGGAGCTCGAAGAAGTGAAACAAACATTAGCCTTTTAAGGATGTACAGCTTAAAAACATCCATTTTTAGTCACAGGAACTGGGACGCGAACACTAGCCAGCCTGCTGAAAAAGACACAGGCAGATATATCCAATGATCCTTTTTATATGCCATTTATCTGTGATCCCCAAAAAACATTCCTGCTGTTTTTCTGTGATGAGTGTCCCTTTGCCAGCGGAATGGCCTGTAAGGGTGAGATTGCCGTGCTGCACCACAGAGTGGCTCCTGCTTCAGGATGTGATACTGGTGACAAACATTAACACACAGGATCAGATGATCCCCCATCGGCCGCCTCTAGAGACAGAATTCAATGTGTCTATAGCTGTGGAATCTTCAGGCTAATTTAACAGCAGACAGAGTGGCATTGTGGGGCTGCTGTTTCCTCTCACTTCTAGAGCTGGGGGTTCGAATCCAAGATGAATCTTCTCACCAAACTGAACTTTGGGGCACCACAAACCTGTACTTGTGTAAAGGTCCACTTTTTTGCTGGGCTGGACAAAAACATCTGGTTATAAATGAAAGCTTGTGCATTTTTCTTGCTATTTTAGGCATATAGGATGCTCCAGTCCCCCCTAAGAAAACTTGAACGATTTGTTTTTTCTTGTTTCAGCTAAAAAGTGCATTAGTTGACATTCCTCCCCAAACTCATGCGCACGGACACACTTATGCTGAGCGAGAGTCACAGAAAGCTGGAGATGCTTTTGATGGAGAGGAACTGCAGACCCCAATCCCTGAGGCCCCATTTCTATGAACCTGGGAGAATTTGGGAAGGTGAGGCTTCAGTTTCAGAGACTCAAAAGAGGCATAAATTCACGTGCATCGGAAAACACTCTCTCTTAACCACCCCCAAGTGTGTCCTGCAGCAGTATGCAGCCAGTCATATTTCAAATTCTCTGTCATAATAATTACGAGATCCTCAACAGAAATGAAGGAAGAAATATAGAAAAACTCTTACTTCTTGTTACATAATAGTGCCCACAGGAAACACATCACTGTCTCCGGAGAGGAACTACAGCGCATGTTTTTAGCCAAAGGGGACTCGTATACTGATGGATGTCATGCTTACATGTTAAATGCATGCACCTCCATCCTGTGATTCGAACATGTAACATTCTGTCCTTCCTTATAATGTAATATACAGTGGTACCTCAGAACTCAAAATTAATCAGTTCAGAACTCTGGATCGAATCCTAAAAAGTTCGAGTTCTGATCGAATTTTCCCCATAAGAAATAATGGAAAATTACACCGAAATATGTTTTTTTTAAGCATTTAAACACAAAATGAACCGGACAAAACAAGAAAAGCATATACTGTACTAAACACATCTAAGCAAATTTATCAAAACAGTAATTTTAAAAGTAAGAAAATAAATGTATCCAAACCATGTGTAAAGTTAAAGAAAATAAACAATGTGTCATGCCCCGATCAACTGCTCCTTCCGTGTGCCACGCCCCCTCATTAACCCCATTTGGAATCCCCATGTGATCAGCTGTTTCTGGTTGTTGTCATTAGTCCTCTGCATTTAGTCCGTGTTTCAGTTTGTTTCCCCAGCCCGGTCATTGTATTGTCCGTCTGCGTTTTGCCTGCCTTACCTGTAATTAAACCCCGTATTCCCCGATACCCTGACGTCTGCGCTTTTGTCTCTGTTCCGTCCCCGCTCGGCACGACAATATTATTATAATTAAATGTATTAATGGTTTATTATTAATATTAAAATAATTAATAAGGATTCTTTATTTTAAAATGTATTTTATAATATAATAATAATTACTGTTACTGTCTATCATTGTCTAAATGTATTTTTACTGTCTAAATATATGTATTCAGCTAGTGTAAACATGCATGACGCTATCACAGCCAATGCGAGGCTGACACTGAAGCGTTACCCTATGTTTCCGCTGAGAGACGTGCCGCGTGACTCATTTCCCTGCGCGTACAAGTTATCTTAGGTTGGCGTTCACGGTTTGACTTCTGAGATTCAGATTGATTTCTAGGTAATTTTTTTTCGAACTGGTTCATTCGACTTTTAAGAAATTCGAGTTCTAATGAGTTCGAGAACTGAGGTACCACTGTATATGCATTTCAAGAAAATGCATAAAATATTAGGATTCTGTGAAGAGGTGCTCCGTACTGAAGGTGGCACTGCAGTGTGCAGGTTCTCATCGCTAAAGCAGACTGAAACAGCCTGCAGGTTCTGCCTGTCTGCATATATCTGCCTTATAGACCAGCACAACACAGCACAGCAAGATTAAATCAAGGTCACAATCTTTCCTCCTTATCGAACATGGAGACGCAAACACACAAAGATATTCAGCTGCAAGCAGACTCGGGAGCTCAGCTCAACACCCGCCTGTGGGAAACTTGCATATAATCAACTGAAAAACAAAAGCAAGTTCCCAAAACTCACTCAGTCAATTTTTTTTTTATTGTTTTTGAGATGAGACCGCCAATGATCTAAAGTCAGGCTTACGCATCATATGTAGCAGTATCAGGAACCAAAACTCACTCAGTCCTCATGTGATCCAATGACAAACTTTCAATAAATTTCCAAAGCTCACTGAATCTACAGAAACTTTCCCGAGGACATATCTTGTGGACTGAGTGAGTTTTGGAAATTTAGTCTTCAATTCAGTTTATGTCTTCAGTATACAGGGGGGGGCCCGTTTGTAGCAGCTAAGTCAAGGTCGGCTCCTCTGCCTGCTGTGGGAACATGGGGAACACTGGCACTCTGACTGGTATCTCTATACTGCCCACATTGTCTAAGTAGGTGTATTGATGTATACAGATGTCTGTCCTGTGATGGGCTAGCATCCTGTCCAAGGTGTACCCCAGCCTCATGCCTTTTGCAGCATTGGACAGGCTACAGGGGCCCCATGACCCTCTCCTGGATAAGCAGGTGGAAGATGGATAGGTGGATGGATGGATGGACCATTCTGTCGTTGAGGTGCTGAGAAATTATGAATTTTCCTATATAACTGGAGAATTGTTGTCAAGGTGTTGAAGTACTTCGGAGAAACTCTTCAAGAACTGTTGAGTCATTGGTGATTTTTTTAGGCCATTCTTCAAACTATTTCTAGGTAAATTCCTGAAGTGTTGCGTTGACCTCACATTTTGGCCGATCTTGTGGTCAGTTTAGTCTTGCTCTGAGGACATGTACGCGCGACGGCAACATGTGCAGGGAAGCGATAAGAACTGGGAGATTAGACCGGGCTGAGGGCAGATGAGGGGCAGCGCAAGTGGAAGGATGTGGAAGTACAGTATAATGATGACAAACCGGCATTTCCCAGAAAAAAAGCAACTTAAGAATGTATATAACTGGGAAGTGGATGTAAGGGTCAGAAAGATCAGGGCTGTCTGTGTACACAAGTGCAATATTTGCAATAGGGTGTAGGTGGTGTGTGTGTGTGGGGGGGGGGTAATAAGGGAAAGCACAGGGCAAGGTGTTTGTGTTCCCTTCTGTGGGCCCTTGTTGTTTGGGCTGGTTGCCGAAAATAAAGGGGCGGAGATGTTCCTCAGATCCAGTTCTAGGTTTTTCTCAGCGGGGCTATTTTTACCAATCAGGGTGGGTCTTTGTGTTCACCCTGTACTGAGCTCTCTCTGGGGGGGGGGGTTACTGCACAAAGGCAGGGACGTGTAAGGATAATGGAAACACCCCCCCCCCACACACACACACACACACACACACACACACATTTCAGAACCCTTAAAGGAATCTTCAAACGGCCCCCTTAATGCACTGACATGTCAGGAGAGAGTCCCAGAATACACATCACTGAAGTGAGAATGACCAGTGACGCACAGGTTAGGAATCTCCTCACATTCCCCGGATGACAGAACAAACACTGCCTGTTTTCCGCCCAGCCTCTCCAAGACAGAATCCCAAAGGACGAGGTAGGAAGATCAGGGAACATTACAAAGTTCAAGGAAGTCCAGCGGCTCACAATGTAGATGGCACATGCATACCTCAAGGGTACCTCCATTCTCTGGGATTCTGAGGGGGATTGTGTTATACCGTCGTGGATATTTCACTCATTAAACCTGACTGGCTTCGCCCTGTTGCAAGTTTAATTTCAACTTGTACAGAGCCTGAAGTTCAGCTCAAACCAATGCAGGGGTCGTTATCTGAAAGTAAATTTGCTTGTGCTGTTTTTCCAGGGTAATGTGTAGGTGATGTGAGCAAGGCTATTTTACATTTTACTTATTTAGCTGCCGCTTGTCATACATAAAAAAAGCAGGGTCAGACAGTCCTTGGAGCAGTAAAAGTTAAAAGCTTTAACAGCTTCGTTCAAAGGTCCAATGGCAGAATCATTCTCCAAATGACGGCATTTAAATCAGCAACCTTCTGATTACAGGTACAGAGAGGAAGCAAAGAAACACTAGTTGGGTGCCATGATTAAAACAAACCTGCCCGCCATTATGAACGCACAATGGTATATTCCAAAAGTGCAGTGCCCCCCTCGCTCTACAGTGACTGTGGTCATTTGCAAACGGCGGCCGATATCGGGAACACACCGTGAGACCAGAAGCAAATTGCAGACATCCCACCTTAGGGATATTGATTTCAGAGAGTCAAATCAGGGGCATCTGGGAGGGTGGGGGGTGCAGGCCAGTGCTTGGTTGGTATTACGGTAAATCCGTAAATATATTGCCGACTGGGGTGGGGTCGGATGGGGGGGCAAAATTTGCTGACCGCGGCTAGATAGTTGTAAAATTTGGGGTGAGGTTGCAGCGGTAAAACTTGTTACCGGCTAATTTTACCACCACTGAACAGAGGAACGACAGATTTCCGGAACACTGCGCGTCATTTGCAGTGTCAGGGAGCTGCTGCAAATTTGCGGGAGACTCTCTGAACTGGGAGAGGTGGGATGTCTGATATTGCCCATTTGAAACACCTAAAGTCTTCTTCGAACTGACTATTGGATTATTGCACATTACAGTAATATTGTTCCTAGGGGATATTCATGGGGGGGGGGGGTGTCCAGGCTACAGGCTTCAGATAAACACAGGGTGTGGGATATGCATTTGTTCTGGGCCATGACCCAAATGCAAGCTGCCTCACTTCCTGGCTGTTAACACGAACCCGTAACAGGATGCTATGAATTTCTGGGCCGTGGGTTGCTGATTGCCAGGAATGCGAAGGGTTCTGTACTCCATCCAACTGAAGTTCTGCTCTAAGCCCTGCGCCAAGCTTGCCGACCCCGTGGTTGTATGGTGTGTCTCCTCTCCTCCGAGGGGGTGAAACCCTCATCGCCATAAACGTGTGTCCCAGTGAAACACAAGCGCAGACAGGTGTGGGCAGCCATCGGGACACTCACCACAGGTTGCAGTTCTCTCTGTATGTGGCCCCAGAGTGGAATTTGTGTCCATTTCGTTCACAGGCACCTGCGAAGGATGGAGGTCATTATCAGCTGAATCAGTGCTGTGACGTGGACCTACAGCTTCAGTAGGCAGCCTTTCTGAAGGGGGTGGGGTGGGGGGGGGGGGGGGCAGGGGCACCGTAAAGGGGGTGAAAATTCAGATGATGAAAGGGACTCTAAAACATCTGCAACATAATTGGATTGGTCTGGTATATCACTGGTGTAAGATGGGAGACCATTTCATTGTAAAGTTTGGCAGTCCGTAATATAGATTATTATTATTATTATTATTATTATTATTATTATTATTATTCTGGGATATTCCCATGGCGAAGGCCAAGACATTAGGACAAGTTTAAAAATGTGAAAGAAATTTCCGGACTAGGTGGCCTGTGTTTATTATTGTGGTTGTTTGCAGTGTGTTTGGGTGTAAATGTAATTTTGTAGGCTTTTGTGTAGCGTGTGGGATGACACCTGTGCAGGAAAGAACAATGCTTTGTATAATGCGGCAGCAACTTGGTGTTTGATTTCTTCCTGTGTTGTTTGTGGAATAAGGTTATTCGTGATGATGGACGTCACTGATCTGCAGTTCCTTGTTCTGTGATCTGGCGTATTCCTGTATGAATGCTGTGTGCAATTTTTGCCTGTCTGTGTCTCGTTGTGTTACAGTATAATAGGTAGGCATGATGAATGCATGTCTGTTTCATGCGCTGATGTTTTTTTCCGTTTCAGTAGTCAGGTGTCGACGAGCCCTAAATCATCCTCAGACGGTTGGGTCTGATGTCCTGACCCACTACTCAGTTGAGCAGCCATTGCGGTAGCCATACTTGGGTCGGTGCTGCTTTCGCCACCATTGGTGAAGGGAGTCTGTAGCCTATTTTTCACCTGCAGACCTCAGCCTAATCTACAGATACGGACCTTTTTATCCGAGTCAGCATGATTTTCATTTTGCTTTTTTAATCATATTTTTATCTCTCTGCCAAGGAAGGGTAGCCCTGTTAGCCTGTTAGCCTTCCCTCTCACTAGTAACACTGCCAGTAATCTAGTCACTCATCAAGGTAGCTAGATCAAAGAGAACTCTAAGGTAATTTATTTACTTCTAGAGCTAGTAAGTGTTAAGTTTGGTTGCCGGACTCAACGCTTCCTGGAAGTTGAGGATGTAAGCACTATGAGCGAGTTATTATTATTATCATTTAGATTAAAATTAATTAGTATTTCTAGTAGTGGCCCTGGGGAGGTGAGTGGGGTGATCTACTACATTTACGCAAAAATCAGGAATCTCTGTGCTTCACCTCTGTGTGTGGGGCAGAGAGAGAAAAACTGGCTCCCTGTGTGGGAGCAAAGGCGATGCTGCGCTAATCCCAGGCTGGAATGTCCACCTGACTGGGCCGCTTTCTGCTGGAGAAGCTCTCTGCTCCTGTCACACCTTAAACAGCTTCGTTTTCAGACACAGTACAGCCGGTGTCACACAGCAGCCACACACAGCGCCTGTGGTTTGCAGCACCCACTGTAAATACGCTCTTGGGGGGGAGGGGGGGCAAAAGTTGTCAACCGTAGGGAAGTCGGGGGGGGGGGGGCAACCACAGGTAATCTGAATCAGAAAACTGATACTACCTTAGAGGAAATTGGTTATGACTACACAGACACACGGAAAGGCAAAAATAGTTATCTATAAAAACAATTGTCAAATTGTCAAAGATGAACCCCATTTTGGGGGGAGGGGGGTCATTCTCCCTCAGTTTGAACACTTGACGGCACCTGAACATAACACACGGATAGCTGGATAATGGCAGGCAGGCAGAGCGCCCCCCGGTGGCCATGGGCCACCCCGTAGCTGACCGAAAACCACAGAACATGGCCACACAGTGTGGAAACAGGCCACATTAAAGCAGATCGGTGCTCTCCGTAAATCGCGGGCAGCCAGCCCAGTTTAACCTTGCCTCTCCTTTCAGCTGTGTTACAGAATTTATTTATTCAATGGCTTATTTAATCCAAAGCATACTGTCACTCTCCAATTTGTTTTTAAGGTAAATTAATGCTCAAAGCTTCACCACAGGCCACAATGCTTGATTATCTTGGCATTTGGGCCTCCAGGCATACATATACAGGCTATACAGCATATACATTCCTATCATGGTATTTTTCCCAGAGTGCCCTGCTCTATAATCCCGTCATTGTGGCACCCGGAGAACTTGGGAGTCACACAGCCGAGATCCGATTCCAAAAAAGCAGAATGAAATCCAGGTATGGTCCCCCAGCGTACCTTACATTCTTTGCCCTGATGACCATTCATCCAGGAAATGCCCCCCCCCCCCCGTTCGACCTCTCTTCCAGGGGCTTCATGCTTATGCAACACCTGCACCACAGGCCTCAGTTCAGAGCAGGGCTTTTTTTAGGGGGGCTCTTCCCCTCCACCCCCCAATACAAATAATGTGTTCGGGTTCATTCAGATTCATCCCCCCCCCCCAAGTAAAGGCTTAGCCCCATTGCCATAGATCTCTAGTGATGTCCCTGCCCCAGATCAGAACCCACTTCCCCATCATGCCCCAGAACCCAGCCCCCAGCTTACCAATGATGGGGGCCTCGATCCCAAGGCAGTGTCCCCAGAAGTCAGGGCAGCAGTCGGACACGGTGCGGTTGCAGAAGAGGTCGCAATAGCAGATGGTGTCCAGGTACGGCACTGTGCACTGGTCATCTCTGCCTGGGCAGCAGCCCCCCCTCAGCTCGCAGTAGGAGCCGAATGGGTCGCGGATGCCGCTGCGGTGCAGGGGGCTGATCAGCTGCCGCTTCACACGGGGCATGCGCCTCGCTGTGCCCTCTTCTGCTACTAAGAGGAGTGTCGCGACCGTCAGCATCAGAATGGACCTCATTGTTCACCTGGACAGAGGGCAAGATGAAGAGAACAGAGAGTGTAGAATGGGCAGCAAAAAAGTGCATGAAAGAGAGGCTTATGGGAAAAAATTCCAGACAGGAAATCGTTGTCTCCACTATGCCACAGAAAATCAGCTGAACACTGACCGATTATTATTTTACAGGCCTAGACCACAAAGCACTGAGTGGGACAGGACCCAGGTGCCCGCAGGTTTCCCACCATGTGTGTACATAGAGCTCTCTCACAAAGGTATAATTACTATACCCAGGTGGCAAACAAAAAAATCCTGCTGGTATTTCTAAAATTATGGGCCAAACTTTACAGTGGTTTCCCAGCTTTGCTCCTAACAGCAATCTGCTCAGGTGACGCAGGTCAAGGCGTGAGCAAAGTGTGTAAAGCACAAACTTCTTGCCTTTCTGTGGGGGGGGGGACGACACTCTGTGACATGGAAGGGGAATAATGTCAAAAAAATTACCTTCTGCTGTCACATGTCATGCTGGAAAACGGGGGTGTTTCTTAATACCAAGAATGTGAAGATCGTACTGATGGTCTTGGCAAGACCGGTCTTGCTAACCTGCCTCCCAAGAGCATACTTGGGGTGCAATGAGTCATGGGATTGGTCTTGTTTTGGGTGGATACAACTGATGCATCCTTGATATTTGGGGCAGCGCAAGAAAGATATTCTGGGATTTTTACTGTCCTATGTGCTTCTGTTCTTAGTATTGAAACTGGTCTTCAGCCATGGCAGATGACATAAAATGGGTACGTGAGAACGCAAGTATCGTCAGGCCTGCAGTGTAATGTCTGACAGTGTAATTATGCCTGAATTATCCCTCTCACAGTAATTGGGACTCTCGCCGGTAAAGGTTTCTGCAGGCACTCGATGGGATTGCCTCACCTGTACCGGCCGGGACTGTCCGTAACACGCAGGCACTCGATGGGATTGCCTCACCTGTACCGGCCGGGACTGT